TTTGGGGTAGCTTAAAATAAAAAAATAAAATTTTATTGGCTTATCTATTTGTCTATTTTTGTCTCCTCGCTTATCTTTATCTAATTGATTTGTATTTGTTGTGTTTATTATTTCTATCACCTTATAGCATGCTTAATAGTAATTGAAATAATAACATAAGCTATTTGTTCAATTTGTTTATAACATAGCCTCGTATGTTAAAATAAATAAAAAAATAAATTTGATTGTTCATTTATTGCTATCACTTAGCCTTGCATATCTAAATTAATAAAAAAAAATGTCTTAATTCTTTTATATTTGTTATCACTTAGCAAGCTTAAATAGATTAATAAATGAAGTGACCAATTTGCTACTTGAAACCCCCACCTAGATTGCATGAGATATGGTCGGGATCCACATTTCTGGACCTCGAGGGGTGCCTAATACCTTCTCCTCGAGGTAATTTGAACTCTTATCCTGATCTCTGGCTCGTTGACCTTAGCTAGACTTAGTTAGGTTAGATAAGTGCCTTAACGCGCCTTAATTTGTTAGGTGGCGACTCCAAACTCAAAATCCCAAAAGAGTTGTTAGGTCATGCACAAAACCCGTTTTTGCGTATAATGGGGCGCGACAACCTCCATATTTCTTCATTACCTATTGTCTATTCCATTTTAATCTTTAATTACAAAATGTTCATCAATAAAGTTTTGAAAGTCTTAACATAACTCGAACGCTAAACACATATCATGAATCCTCAAGATCTTATCTTCCCCTTTCATGAAACTTTAAAGTGATTTGAATTTATCATATATATATTATCCTCATAAAAATATAAATTCAATGACACTCACATTACTATATTTAATTTTGGCGCAAAAATCAAGTCAAAAAGTCATCCCTTGCCGCCAAATTTGAATTTTAAATTTTCTTTTAGATGTTATATATTCATGATAAAACAAACTCGCATGCAAAATTTCAGATAAAACAGATTGATCCCCAAATAGTGATTTTGTTCTAAGAACCCTAGGACAATATTTTCTTAATTTACCCAATTTCAACATGTTTATACCCTAAAAATCTATTCATAATCACATAAAATTTTAATGATTTTAAAGTAAAGGAAGAGAGTCATTACCTCAACGCTTTGGGATAAAATGTCAATTTTTTCCTTTTTTTTTCTTTTTCTCTCTTTCTTTTCTTTTCTTCCTCTACAGCGTTGTGTGCGTGCATTTTTTTCTTGGTTTGCAGCGGCGTTTTGCTGCTTTGTTTTCTTTCTTTCTCTTTTTTTTCTTTTAATTTCTTTATGACCTTTTCACATTTATTCTATTTTATTTTATTTCACCGATGTTTTTTCCTTTTCCCACTATTATTAGCAATAAAAATAATGGTTTATAAAATTTGAAAATTACATCACTCATTCTCTCAAGACATAAATCATTTAGAGAGCCACTAAAAGGATTAAACTCAAAATTGGTAAAATTAACATGACTAAGAGGATCTTTGCAATAAAATTGTGACTGTTTACAACATATACCACTATGTTTATGTTCATTAACATGTGTTCCCTTCATGCCTTCTACTACAAAAACAAGCTTCAACCAAATCTTGGAAACCAACACGGCTTTAAACTGATTCTCTACACCACACCAAATTCATCTCTGACCAGGTATGCTATAATACAACTTCCTCGATGTTTTGTCTTTTTCCCATCACCGTTCCATCACCTTCCCAATAATGACTTTGTATTCTAAACATTAAAATTCTTCAAGTCAATCTTCTAGGTTTCATATTGAGCCTCCAACACTCGCACCAGATCATACATATACACTACTTTCAAAATTCGTTGCCCCTTGGTACATTTAACAATTACTGAGTCCACATATCAGTTTTTCTTTGTTGATGCAACAATTTTTATCCTTCATCTTAAAATATTACAAATAATAACCCACGGCCATATTTTTTGGATCAGGTTTCTTTGTTGATGCAACAATTTTTATTCTTCATCTTAAAATATTACAAATAATAACCCACGACCATATTTTTTGGATCAGGTTACTTTAACCATGCTCGCTTGTGCAACTTTATGTACATTTCAAGTTGTACAGGACATTAAGAAGTACTTTGTGTAATTTTTTTTTGTAAGAACTTTACTTTTCCCATGATTGTGTTGAGAATTGATTCAAAAAAAATTCTAAGTTGTTGACTATTTACTGTAGGTTTGAATAGGTCTTTTACTAGAGTTGAAAGAGTCTTTGTTAGGTTGATATTTGGTTGCTATTTTTTTGACACTTTCCTAATTTCTAGTCAAGTGAAAGTCATGGAGAGATTATTTTACTGAGTCTATAATCCTATAAAAGCAGATATTTCCAGTTAATAAATTAAGCACTTCTACAAAGTATTTCCTTCATCTTCTTTGTGCATATTTAAGTTTTGTAGTTAAGAACTCTATTTTTTCCTATATTGTGGTATCAGAGCAAGCGTTCGGTCTTTGACTGCGAGATAAAGTGATAAGAAACAATGAGGCAGTGAAATATAAGAAGGAAAAAGAAGCTTATGACAACAAATGGTATATCCTCTTCTTCACAACCCCTCATACCCGTCTTCAATGGTGAGAAGTATAACTCTGGAGCATCAAGATGAAGACCTTGTTTAGGTCTCAAGAATTGTGGGACTTAATCGAAGATGTGTTCACTGATGTAGTAGAGTCGGATGCAGAAGATGAAAAGAGATCAAAAGAAATCAGAAAAGGAAGCAAATTCTTTGTTGTTTATTCAACAAGTTGTTCATGAGACAACCTTCTCAAATATTGCAGAATTACTACCTCAAGAGATGCTTGGCTGATTTTGATTACTAAGTTTAAAGATTCTTCAAAGGTAATTATAATCTCTTCATCGTGATTTTGAAACATTGTTCATGAAAAACAATGAATCTGTGCAAGACTTTTTATGACGAGTTAGTGGAATTTTAAGTCAAATAAAATTCAAAGTTGAAGAGATAGGTGATAAAATCATAGTTTCAAAAGTTTTATGAAGTTTGCCTCCAAAGTTTGATCATATGATTGAAGCCATAGAGGAATCAAAAGACTTATCTAAGTTTTCGTTTGATGAACTAATCGGCTCTTTGCAATCTCACGAGTCACGGATCAATAAGTCAATAGAGATAACTGAAGAACAAGCATTTCAAGTGAAGGAAGAACATCTAATTCAAAATAAGAAATAGTTAGGACAAGGAGCACGATGCCTTGGCAGAGGCGGTTTTAGAGGCAGAGGACGTGGTAGAGGGCAGAAGCCAATTAGGGTGGGAAAATAGCCACAAAATTGCAGTGTAGTGTTAAAGTTGTCATAGATTTGGCCATATAGAAGCTAATTGTTGGTATAAAAATGATCAAGCTTGTTATGCCAAAGGAACAGGAAGAAGAAAGTTACTTTTCATGGCTCGCTACCACCATAGATTACAAGACTGATGTTTGGTTTGTGGATAGTGGATTCTCCCACCATCACATGACCGGTTAAAGAAAATGATTTAAATAGTTAGATGAGACGAAAAAAGGCGAATTTGGCTTGGTTATTACAAGGAAATTCAAGTCGAAGGTGAAGGTACTATTGTTGTCCAGACTAGTCAAAGTAAAGTGAAACTTATTCAAAATGTGTTATTTACTCGTAATTTGTCACATAACTTAATAAGTCTTGGTTAATTGTTTAGTTGTGGATTTTTTGTCTTGTCTAATGATGACTCATGTGTTATTAAGAATAAGAAATCTAGTCAAATCTTAGCAAATATTCACATGATAGATAATAAAATGTTTCCATTAAAGTTTCAAAAGTTGAACAAGTCTTGTTTGTTAGTGAGAATAATCTTGATGAATCTAAGTAGTGGCATTTGCGTTATGGACCCTTCAATATGAATAGATTGAAATTGCTAAGTCAAAATAAAATGGTTCATGGTTTACCAAATATAGAATTTGTTGAATATGCATGTGAAGTTCTATATATTGCAAACAACATAGACATTATTTTCCTGTTGGAAGATCCTTAAGAGCTACTAGTTGTCTTGAAATTGTTCATGCAGTTTCGTGTGGGCCTATGGCCACAGAATCTCTTGCTGGTTCTCAATATTTTTTGTTATTAAAACTGACGATTACAGTTGGATGTGTTGGGAAAATTTTTTGAAGCTCAAATTAGAAATTTTTTCAAACTTGAAAAAATTCAAGCGTTGATTGAAAACCAAGTTGGTAAAAAAGTCAAGGTTCTGCGTACCGACAGAGGAGGTGAGTTCTTATCACAAGAATTTGAGTTATTTTGTGAAGAAAATGGAATTCACATGGAATTGACTACCCCTTACACTCTGGAGCAAAATGGGATTGCTAAGCGGAAGAATCGAACTATAATGGAGATGGCCAGAAATATGTTAAAGAGTAAAGATCTTTCCAACTAGTTTTGGGCTGAGGCTGTTCATACTACAGTTTATTTGCTTAATATCTCTCCGGACAAAGCAGTCATGGGTCAGACACCTTTTGATATCTGGAAAGGTAGAAAGTCAAGGATAAGTCATTTGAGAATTTTTTTTTGTATTGTGTATGCTCTAACAAATTCTCAACATCATAAAAAGAAATGCAACTTTTTTAGATATTATTTTGGATCTAAGGTTTTTCAATTGTATAATACCACAAATGGTAAGGTGATTTATCAGGAGCGACGTTTTATCTCATGAAAATACTTGTTAGAAAAAGAGACTTCATGAGGTCTCTTTTCTGCATTTATAAAATATAAAATGTTAAATAGAGACCTTGAGGTCTCTATAATGAAATATCTGAAAAAATTCATGCAAAAAAGAGATCTCATAAGGTCTCTTTTTCTGGAAAAAACTGGCAGCTAATTATTATTTCTGCGGCTTCTCATCACCTGTCATTTTAATTCAGTACCCAAATCAAGCTCAAAGAGCTTCCAAAAATCAATTGAAGCAATACATTTACTAAATCTTCTCTTATCAACTCAATTGCTACTCACTTCAACATAATTATATATTAAACAAAAACCATGATATCCATAAGTTATATAATACATTGCAATGTTATCATATATTCACAAAACAAATAATTCCCATCACAAAATTATAAAGTTAACAAAATTATCCATAAGTTAACTTAGATTATCTATCACAAGTCTAAACTTCACTAATGTGGTAGTGTGTTTGCCACATAATCATCACTACTAGACTCATAGTCATATTTCTTTGTTGACCATACATTGGATATTGAGTAGGTTGAGATTGAGGAGGTCGAGGAGGGAAAGTGACATCACCAGAACAAGGGGGAATCCCTCCTGAAGCAAGTAATGCATCGAATTGAGCCTTAAGACCCGCAAACTGTAATTCCAACCGCCTTTCCCTAGCCAGTGATTCTTCGGCTTGGCTAGATAGCTCAACAATCTTTTTCTCCATAGCCAAATTTTTCTTCATCGATTCATCATGATTTGAACTATTTAGGCCTTCAAACTCAAAAGAAAATTCACGAAAGGTTTTATGCGGCATTCCATATGCATACCCATATCTACTCGGCCCACAAGTGATGTCTAACCAAACTCTCTCATCCTGTTCTTGAGTAAGTGGCATACCTCTATTTTCTTCCAGCAGAGTTTGTTGTAAATCCTCCAAAGCTTGAAGATATCGATTATAAATTGAATGTTATCATATGAGAATATAAATTTAGAAAATAAGTAATTATTTTTTAAAATTAAAACGAACTAAACAAATTTCTAAGTCTAATTAGTTTAGTTTTGACTTAATTCCAACACTATAGTAACCAATGTAACTTATAAACCAACTTAACAACTTTCTAAGTCTAACTTGCTTATATTTAACTTAATTTCTTATACTATAGTAACAAGTTTAACCTACCAAACAACTTAACAAATTTGTAAGTTTAATTAGTTTAGTTTTACCTTAATACTAACATGATAGTCACAAATTTAACTTATTCACCAACTTAACAAATTACTAAGTCTAATTAGTCTAGTTTTAACTAAATTCTAATACTATAGTAACAAGTTTAACTTATTAACAAACTTAACAAATTTCTAAATCTAATTAGTTTAGTTTTAACTTAATTGAAACACTATAATCACAAATTTAACTTACTAACCAACTTAACAAATTTTTAAGTCTAATTAGTTTAGTTTTGACTTAATTCCAACACTATAGTAACCAATGTAACTTATTAACCAACTTAGAAACTTTCTAAGTCTAACTAGTTTATTTTTAACTTAATTTCTTATACTATAGTAGCAAGTTTAACTTACCAAACAACTTAACAAATTTCTAAGTTTAATTAGTTTAGTTTTACCTTAATACTAACACGATAGATACAAATTTAACTTATTAACCAACTTAACAAATTTCTAAGTCTAATTGGTCTAGTTTTAACTAAATTCTAATACTATTGTAACAAGTTTAACTTATTAACCAACTTAACAAATTTCTAAATCTAATTAGTTTAGTTTTAACTTAATTCTAACACTATAGTCACAAATTTAAATTATTAACCAACTTAACAAATTTTTAAGTCTAATTAGTTTAGTTTTGACTTAATTCCAACACTATAGTAACCAATGTAACTTACTAACCAACTTAACGACTTTCTTAGTCTAACTAGTTTATTTTTAACCTAATTTCTTATACTATAGTAACAAGTTTAACTTACCAAACAACTTAACAAATTTGTAAGATTAATTAGTTTAGTTTTACCTTAATGCTAACACGATAGTCATAAATTTAACTTATTAACCAACTTAACAAGTTTCTAAGTGTAATTAGTCTAGTTTTAACTAAATTCTAATACTATAGTAACAAGTTTAACTTATTAACCAACTTAACAAATTTCTAAATCTAATTAGTTTAGTAACACTATAGTCACAAATTTAACTTATTAACCAACTTAACAAATTTTAATGTCTAATTAGTTTAGTTTTGACTTAATTCCAACACTATAGTAACCAATGTAACTTATTAACCAACTTAACAACTTTCTAAGTCTAACTAGTTTATTTTTAACTTAATTTCTTATACTATAGTAACAAGTTTAACTTACCAAACAACTTAACAAATTTCTAAGTTTAATTAGTTTAGTTTTACCTTAATACTTACACGATAGTCACAAATTTAACTTATTAACCAACTTAACAAATTTCTATGTGTGTAATTAGTCTAGTTTGAACAAAATTCTAATACTATAGAAACAAGTTTAACTTATTAACCAACTTAACAAATTTCTAAATCTAATTAGTTTAGTTTTAACTTAATTCATACACTATAGTCACAAATTTAACTTATTAACCAACTTAACAAATTTTTAAGTCTAATTAGTTTAGTTTTGACATAATTCCAACACTATAGTAACCAATGTAACTTATTAACCAACTTAACAACTTTCTAAGTCTAACTAGTTTATTTTTAACTTAATTTCTTATACTATAGTAACAAGTCTAACTTACCAAACAACTTAACAAATTTGTAAGTTTAATTAGTTTAGTTTTACCTTAATACTAACACGATAGTCACAAATTGTAACGACCTGTTTAGTCATTTTGAGCAGCAGATTTTATTTCTGGAAAATTTGTCTTGGTCGACGGATCCCACGACGGACCGTCATGGGCACGACGGACCGTCGAGGGGGTCTCATTCCAAAACACTTAGAATTCTGAAATTTGGGTACTTAAATCGACTCTTTGAACTTCGTGACGGAATGGCAGGACGGACCGTCACAGGCGTGACGGGCCGTCACAGACCCTTCAAAGAATTGAGTCTCTGAACTCTCTGACGGAAGCAGCAGGACAGACCGTCGCAGTCACGACGGCCCGTCACAGACTGCGTAATTCCAGGCTGGGTCGGATTTCTGTTAAATATTTTAAGGGGCGTTTTGGACTATTCCTGCTTATAAATATAAATTTAGTGGGTTAATGTTAATAACTTAACTACTTGAAGGTTAAAGGAGATAACCTTAAATTAATTAACGGGTTGATTTATCATCTTTTATACTTAATTATATGCTAATTAGGGTAAAAGAAACAGGGTTTGAATAAGAAAAATAGAAAGAACAAGAGAGGGAGAATCGATCAAGAGAGAGAGAAACTGAGAGGATAGCAAGGCTTGGAAGTAGATTGCTTGATCACCATTCTTCAGCGGAGGTAGGTTATGGTTTTTATGCTATTCGTAGTAGACTCTTAATAGCGAATGATATGTGTAGGGTAGTATTATAAAACCTTCTATATGCTTAATTGTGTGCTTACATGATGTGATTATATAATTGTGATGAATAAGCATGATGAGTCTATTGAATCTCTAATCCTAAATGTTCCTTGTTAATGATAATGTCTTGGTATAAAAGAAGGCTTGATGAACTAAAGTAATGAGATCGATGATGTCTTGGTATAAAAGAAGGCTTGATGAACTAAAGTAATGAGATTGATGATGCCTTGGTATAATAGAACGCTTGATGAATTAATAGAATGAGATTAGTGGAGCAGGTGTCACGAACCGACACGTAGAATTAGGGAATCGGGTGTCACGAACCGACACGTAGAAATAGGGAATCGGGTGTCACGAATCGACATGTAGAATTAGGGGATCGGGTGTCACGAACCGACACGTAGAATTAGGGGATCGGGTGTCACGAACCGACACGTAGAATTAGGGGATCGGAGTGTCACGTTCCGACACATAGTAGTAGGGGAGCGGAGTGTCACGTGCCGACACAAGAGGAATAAAGATAATGAATCTTGAAATTATGTCAATAAATTCGAATGAAAAGAACCTATTTCCCAAATGAGTATGATATGGAGAATTGAGTTCTCATGAGTGTACTTGACGTTATTTATCAAAGATTCTTGTACATGTTGTTGCTAGAGATTGAGTATTGTAGTTGATTTATGATATTATCTGATATATACTGTTTTCTATTTTGAGTTGGCTGATGATACCTACTCAGTACTTGTGTTTGTACTGACCCCTACTTGTATATTTCTTTCTTTGTTATTTGTGGAGTGCAGCAAACGCGCCGTCGTCTTCAACTCAACCGCAACTCTAGCCAGTCTTCATTACACTAGATTTCAGGGTGAGTTAATGCTTCTAGCTTGGACTGGGTCTTCCTCTTCATGTCTTGATGCCTTGAACTTCCGGCATGGACTAGCTTTTCTTTATTTTAGCTTCTTAGACATTCTTAAATATAGTAATTTGAGGATAGATGTTCTTGTGGTGATGACTTCTAGATTTTGGGGATAATAATAAGTGTTTGAGTTTTTAGAAGTTATTAATCTATTTTCATTAATGAGTTTTAAGTCTTCCGCATTATATTCTATTTATTATGTTGAAATGTTGGGGTTTAGATTGGTTGGTTCGCTCACATAGTAGGATAAGTGTGGGTGCCACTCGCGGCTCATTTTAGGTCGTGACAAACTTGGTATCAGAGCATTAGGTTCGTTGGTCTCATCACACAAGAACGAGTCTAGTAGAGTCTTAAGGAACGGTAGGGGGACGCCTTTACTTTTCTTTGAGAGGCTATAAGATTTTAGGAAAATTCCATTCTTTCTTTCTTTCTTTCGTGCTATTACTTGGGTCCAATTGGTATATAGGTGATACAAATTAGTATCTGACCATCTTCACTCTATTTTGCAGATGGTTAGAACTAGAGCAACGACTGCGCCAACACCAACACCGGCAAGACAAGAAGCGTCTGAGCTAGCCACTGGGGTTGTAGTTCGAAGAGGAGTAGTGGCAAGAGGTCGTGGAAGAGGTCGTGGGAGGACATCCTCTAGAGGAAGAGGACAAGCACCTAGCCCATCTGGTACTAGGGCGGTGACTCCTCCACCGGCTGAGGAAGTAGTAAGAGAGGGGGAGGATTGGGAAAATGAGCAAGTACAGAATGAGGAATTACCACCCCAACCTACCCCAGAGATGATCAATCAGGTTCTTGCTTATCTTAGCGGGTTATCTGATCAAGGCCACACACCTCCAGTGTTTTCTGCACCAGCACCTCAGGTTCCGGAGGTACAACATGCGGCTACTGTGGCTCCCCGCATGGATGCCTCATTGGAAATAGGCACGTTTCCTCGTCTGACTACAGGGCCTATAATGACAAATGATCAGCATGAACTTTTCAGTAAGTTCTTGAAATTGAAACCTCCAGTCTTCAAGGGTGCTGAAT